ATTTGTATCAGTAGAAAGAAGTAATAGACAAACGTGATCTTTAGCTAGGAAGAAAGCTAAAATATAAGGTGATACATTCAACTCCAAGTGAAACCAGAGCCAAGTTATGAAGAAGTCTCAAGGCTTCTGACAGTGAGAGCTACTTAACCTGGGTGTCTTTTCAATGGATTTCAGGAAATAGCATCTTCATAATAGCATCTTATTTTTGTGTGAACGTATTGTCTGGAAAATCTATAGCATTCATAGTTTTCTCATTAAAGTCTATGGCACAAAAAGAGGTCAAATAAATAGAAAGATCGTTTCTTTAAGTAACTCAGAAGAAAAAAAGAAAAACATAGCTGGTCTTAAAGCCCTAAAAAGCCGATGTAAGGATCAGGTGAGTCAACAGGAGTCACATCAGAAGTGCGCTGGCAAATGTTTAACAACTGGCTGTCCAGTGGAAAGAAGCTATAATTTGTAACACTTGTTAATGTTTACAGTATAAATATACCATTATGGCCAATTTCAAGCTACCAGTGAATTGTCAACTAACACAAAATTCCTGAAAATTTAACAATCAGCTTTCACAAGCTTGTGGGAGCTAACTCCAGCAGGCTTCTTATTCAGGTTGTTCCTGTAGTTAGCTAGCTAATTATTAATAGAGGGAGCAAAGGGAATTAGACTTTGATTTTGATAAACTGGGGAGCATAAGCCTGTTTGCTTAGCCGAGAAGCTACAGTTTCACATACCCCCGGAATGGCTGCCGAGGAGACTTAGGCCTCCAAGTGGACAGGAAAGTCTGTCGACACAGCAAAAGAGCTGGTTTTGACTGGCAACAAGGTGAATTAGTTCTCCTCAAGCCTGGAGGCAACTTAAACTAGGTGAAGTCACTAACAAAAATAATTGAGCCTGATCTGGTGTACACTGTATGTTAAAATTTTTTGAATATTGCTTTAAATAGACCTTTTCAAGCAGCCTTCATAAAATGTGTAACCAAATTTAAAACATAAAAATCAACAAATAAAGCCAAAGCTTTCTCTAATGCTTTGAATAAAGAGATTAATTTCTGTGAAAAAAATGATAGGATAAAAAAGGATGCTAAAGTTCTAAGGAAGAAATCAAGCCCCTTCTCATCTTAGTCCATTCAGCCTGCTATAACAAAATACCACAGACCAGGCACCTTATAAACAACAAATATTTGTTGCCCCTGGTTCTGGGGGCTGTAAGTCCAGGATCGGGGTGTGGCGTGGTCGGATTCCAGTACGCACCCTCTTTTAGGCGGCAGACTTCTGGTTGTATCCTCCCCAAGAATAATGGCTGGGGAGCTCTCCCCACTCTCTTTTGTAAGGACATTGATCTCATTCACAGGGGCTCCAGACACAGGACCTAATTCACCTCCCAACATTCCCCCTTCTTCCTAATATGGCTACATCATATATTGGGGGATTAGGGTATTAAACATATACATTTGGGGAAAACATACATTCAGACAATAATACTTCTAGGACAGTGGTTTTCCAAATATGGATCCTGGGCCAGCGGCATCAGCCTCACCGGCAAACGTGTTAGAAATGAAAGTCTCAGGCCTTCACCCCAGACGTCCTAAATCAGAAATCCGAGAGAGTAGCCCAATAACCTGTGTTTTAACAGGTCCTCCAGGTGACATGGACGTGCCCTGAGGTCTGAGAACCTTGGCTCTAAAGCCAGGGCTCTCCGATTTCAGTGTGCCAAGAATCCCCAGGGGAGACATGTGACCCCGCAGGTCCCTGGCCCAGGACACACCTACTCAATCAGAGTCTCTAGTGAGAGGGTTCAGAAACAGTTTTAGGTTTTATTTCATGTTATTTTATTCTATTTTTATTTGTTTGCATTTTTATAATTCGCAACTCAGAGCCATTGGGAGGAAGAAAGAAACAAACTTCTTATAAAAAATTTAAATATGTACAAGGATAGAAAGAAGAGTATAATGAATTCTTGTGGAAGTGCCACTCAGTTTAAACAAATATCAGCATTTTGCCTGTCTTATTTCATATTCCCTTAATTTTTTTAGTTTGTTTTCTGTGGGAATACTTTAAGGCAATTTCTAGACATTGTATCATTTCATCAGTATATTTCAGTATGTATCTAACAGATAAGAGCCTTTTCTTTTCCATTGACAATTGCTATTATTGTAATGCACAAAATTAATGACAATTTTGTAACTGTATTCCAGAAATACAAAAGTGGTTCCAGTAGTTGGACATCACATTTGTTAGTTGTCCTTTTAAATCTATTATTCTGTAGTACTCTCTCCCTCACCATTCCACTTTTTTTTTCATGCTAGCTCAGTATTTTATTTTCATTGAATTTATTGGGGTAATGGTTAATAAAATATTATAGGTTTTAAGTGTACAATTCTATAACACATTATCTTTATATTGTATTGTGAAACCGTAAAAGCCCTAGAGGAAAATCTAGGCCGTAAAACCTAAAACATTTCTCATGTCAATATTTTTTCTGATATAGCTCCTTGGACAAGGCAAAGAATAGAAAAAATAAACAAACAAGTCAAACAATAGAAAAATAAATGAATGGGACTACATCAACCTAAAAACCTTTTGTACAACACAGGAAATCATCGACAAAATAAAAAGACAGCCCAGTGAACAGGAAAACATATTCCCCATTTCATTTCTTAATGCAGGGTATTTGTTGAAAACTGGGTTATGTGTCCTTTGTCATTTTATACTCTGTGGACTTGGCTGAAGGTGTCCTTCCGATTTTGTTTAGAGAAGCCTGGAGGACAGATCTAGAAACTTGTTTCACTGGAGTTCACTTGTTTTGGCGAGAATACTTCACAGGAGGCATTGGGTATTTTCTAGTCTCCCAGTGTGAGCAGGAAGCCCACACTGGCTGTTTACCCCACTTTCGGTGACGTCATCAATGGGTTCGGCTCTCATCAGACTGATGGCCGAGTATAAAACTCCCCCATCGACAATTAGCCTAGTTGCTCAAACACCCATTAATAATTGTTGATGATTTATTATTTCATTAAGGTTTGCAAAATAAATTTTTTCTATATTGTCTTTCCTATGTGTTTCAGCTAGAATACTTCTATAGGGAAGAAATGTCAAAATTTATATTTTAAAGTACTTTATTCAAGAAAAAACAAGGTGCTTTACATCTACTTACAAATTTTACTGTAACTAATTGCTTCCTTAGCAACCTTCAAATGTAACTGAGGATTTTATTCACTTATTTTTATTTTTTATTACTATAATGGAGTCATGGGTATTTATACATTTCATGTATTTTGATCCTTTGTAGCATTTTACTTTTTGATGTTGAAATTATCACAGCTTTGTCCAAAGAAGTCTTTCATAGGTTCTTTAATTTCTGGAACAAGAGGATGTCCCAGAGTCATCTTGCACATTTCCTGCTCCCAGCTAGGGCAGGGACCCCGGGTCCTTGGGTGGACTCTGAGATGTAAAGACCACAATGAAGGTACGAGGGTGCTCCTCCTTATTAGTCTTTTCCAGAGGGTGGCATTAAGACATTTTTAATTCTAGAAGAAGGAAAGTTAATTATGAGTTCATACTGCTATCTGCAGTTCAAAATGCAAGATTACCAGCTATTTACTTGACTTCTTGTTGCTGATGATATAAATTTCAAACTAAAAATACCATATTACTTCTAAAAAAATACAGCTGAACATGGCTAAGATTTCTATCCCGTGAGAGAAATGTACAGTCGGAAATACTGTGTTTTAAAGTCACTTGAAAGAATTTTTTTCTTTATTCAGTTATGCCACAAACTTGAGGTAGTATTAGGTCTATTTGTTTGTTTGTTTTAAGTTGGGGGAATGACTTTTTTCTTTTTCTTTCTTTTTAATTGATAACATACTAACATGAGTTGAATAATGAAAACTATAAAATAAGGTGCACTCAGAGATAGCCTCTACTGTGGTTTCTTTGTTACAATATTTTAATATAAATGAGCACGTGCGCATATTGGTATAGCTTCTTCTTTTCTGACACAAAAGACAGCATACATTGTTCTTTACCTGTTTTGTTTTTTTTTTACTTAGCACTTTGCCCTGGACATGACGTCACATCAGTACACAGAGACCTGCTTTGCTCCTTTCCACAGCTGCGTCACATACCACTTTTTGTAGGCAGACCATAGTTTTTTCAGTCAGATCTCTACTAAGAAACATTCGGCTTATGTCTAGATTTTTGCGGTAATAAATTATGCCACAGTGAATCGAATCGGATGTATGCCATCTAGTATTTTTATCAGAGTCTCTATGGAAATTACAATATTCTTAGAAGAAAGATAGGTCAAAAGTTAAATACATATGGAATTTTGGTAGATACTGAGTACCCAACACTCCTTAAAATGTTGGACTATATTGAATTCCTAGAGACAGTATAAGAGAGTTTCTTTCTCCACAGCCTAACCGACACACACATTGTCAAATGTCTTTCCTTTCCTCCCATCCAGTAGGTGAGCAATGGTTCTGAAGTGCAGTTTTAATTACAGTTCCCTTATCCTGAGCAAGTGGTTAAGGTCAAGTTCACATTTACATTTTGTTTTCCACAGTCTATTTTTTCTTATCTCTAGCTCATTTGGGGTGGGCAAAAAATTTTATTGTAATTGAATATACCAAACTTATTGCTTCTATATTTTTAGTCACAGTTAGGAACATTTTTCCTATTCCCAGGTTATGGAAAAATTCATCCATATTTTCTTAAAGTTCTTACTTATGCTCAAAATTAAACAAGTTCCTGAAAAGATTAAGTGCACCAAAGTACCAGTTTACAAATCCAGCTTTATAAAGTGATGTCAAACACTGCAGTTATCTACATGAGAAACATTTAATAATCTGTCATGTTTATAATTTTCTTAATTCTTCTGTATGATGCCAATCTGAAGTCTTCTTGCCTGCATAATAAAATGTTTTGTTAGTCAAACAGAAAGGACTATTTCTGGACTAATGTGTGCTCTTTATGAATAAACATACTCATTATTAAGAACTTTACCTTTCTAAAAGAAGACAACATAAACCATTATGATGCAGCCCACAATCCATCCAATCAAGAGAAGAACAGGAATCAGAAGTTGTGATGATGTAGATTCTGCTTAAAAATAAACAAAGCAAAACAGATTCAGTAGGCCATTTTGGCATTGTATCTTCTGAATCAAGAGAATAAAAGAAATCTGGTAATATAAAGGGACATATACACTCTCTCATCATACCCAAACATGACTATTACATTTTCTACCACAGGTACACATGACTCTGCTGGGTATTTGGAATAGAAGGCCTGTGTTCAATCATAGCCCTTCCTTTTACCATTGTGTGACCTTGGGCCATTCTGAGCTTGAATTTCCCTATTTGTAAAATATGGGTAATGAAACTTGTGATATCTACCTCCTGAAGCTGTTGCGTGGGTCAAATGATGTCACATATGAGCAAGGGCTTTGTAAACTCCGACCACCACGTGTGTGTTTAGGGTAGATGGTACACATTCATGTCTGCATTCACTAATACAGAGAGCAGCTGTTCACATACACACGACAGAAAACGACTCTGGCACAATTCCTACTGAACCAAATAATAATCGTAACAGGGAAAGGTATTGAAATTGGTTTCTTGGCCTTGATAGCTAACTTTACTGTTAACTGTCATAGGGGAAAAACATATTTTATATAATCATTCTCAACAAGAGAGATTTGAGTGTTTTAACTGCTCACTATGGCAATCAACACTGACCCAAAACACATACAAAAGACATTATATAATGATTCCTCCTTTGTTTCCTATCTGTACCCTGATGTGCAAAAAGTAATTTTAAAAGTATCTCTTTTAAAATATTCTCTGCATCTCAATCTTATTGTTTCAAACACACACATATCACTCAAAAGGATTCAAAAACAACACAGAAATATACAATTAACATTATGTGTTAAGGACTCAGATATAACCTTAATTGAAAAACCCAATTAGATCTTATGCCATCAACTAACAAAGAAAATGCGTAGTCTTAGCAATCGCATTTCTATTACAATGTTCGCCACTTTAAAATGTGGAGCATTTTAAATACTGGTAAAATAAAAATCATCTGGAAACTTCTAAAGACTTCTAAAATTAGAAGACACATTTATAAAAGCAAATTTTCTGAAGTTAAAATGCATAGTAATAGTTTGAATCTATGTTTCCAGAAATGCTGGACTCTCTCTTAATTCTCAAAAATTATAGGCTTTCCTCCTTTCCCCACCTTCCCATGACCTTGAGCAAAGCATTAACCACTAAATGAAAGCTCCTCTCTTTTCCTGCCATGTGGTATTGCTTTAAGGATAAAGTGAACATTATGACATACCCTTTACTCTCATTTGGATGAAAGCCCTTTTATGAATTAAGGTACCATGACAGTGAAAGTACAGAATAGTAATTTTTTGAGCTATTCATATATGTGGTTTAGTTTCTTTTCCCAATTTCAAAGGACTTAAAAAATTAATATTGATATTTTAATTTAGTGTTAAAATATTTTATACAAGCTTATTTTAATATAGTTCTAAAATGTGCATTAAAAATTCTTAAAATATATGTATCATTATTTATTATTCCTTATAAACCAATACAATTGACTGTGCATTTTAACATTCAAAGTATAACTGCATTTGTGTTCTTTTAACACTAACATTTTAAGTTTTACCAAAATCTATACCATTGTTTTGAAATAGTAACATATAGGAACTTTGCAAATGTCGCTTACATTAATAGCACAAATAAGCACAAAGCCTCTTTTAAAATAAGACCAATTTCAAACTGCGTCTTCCTTGGTCCAGTCCTGAGCATGCTCAAGTATGTAGTTACACCTGGAAGCCTTCCTAAGGTCACTGTGCTCCAGAACAAGACTGTCCAAGTTCAAAAGGTGGTGCCATCACCCTCTAAGTGTGTGAGTGCAGGCACATTACAGAGTTTTGCTATGTCTCAGCTTCCTCCTCTGTACAGAAGGACGTATGGTGATGTGCATAGCTCACGAGATTGCAGTCAGGGTTAAAAGCAACAATTCCCGTAGGCATTTAAGACCTGTGTCTTGGACACAGTGTACTCAGCCCCTTTCTCAGATTAGCATTAATCATCTTTCTTAAATATGAAAAATATTTAAAGCCTAGAAAAAGAGGAAATTCAGATGCAAAGCCTATTAGAGATGACTAGGCCCACTTTATTTATTTTCATTTTAGAACTAGAAAACAGGCTCAGAGAGGTTGAGGGACTTCCTCAAACTCATGGGGCCATTTCAAATCTCCTTAATTCCGGTGTGGCCTGACACCATACTTCAAGTCTAGCACAAAACACCAGAGGGTAACTGACCTCTAACTCATCTTACAAAATAAGGGAGAACAAATTCAGCTCTCTTATTTGTTGGATCCTTTTGCTATTGTTCATAATGCACAGACGTGTTCCTTACACTGCACACCTAGTGCACTTTTTGTGGTCACACTAACATATACGGTTACCACTCCTTTAGCAGAAATACCACATTCATCAAAGTAATTGAGTAACACCAAATACTGGGGAACATAAAAATATACCAGCAATCCTGGGCCTTTTTTGCCAAGAGAGTCTCATGCTAAAATCTTACCTTTTTCAGCCATTCTTCCTGTTGCTGGGTGGTTTGGTCAGAGTCAGGCTTACCTCTTTGTTATTGTTTTCCAGCGTCGCTTTGAACTTTAAATAGAGAGATTATCTGAAGAGTGCAGCAGCTGCCCCTCTCCCGGCTGCCAATTGTCTGCAGGGTGATGTAAGGTGTTGGAAAGCAGAGCTCCTCCGGCTCCTGTTATCCTGTTAGAATGGAGGGAAAGGGGGCTACGTGGCCTCAATGAGTAAATAGGCTGCATTATCCCAACCCAGAGATACGCAGATTTTTAATTCGCCCAATGCCTTCAGACCACATGAAGAACGTGTTCAGTGAAGGGGAGTACAGAAGGAAAATGGCATTGCAAGAGAGAAATTCTACCAAAGAGGGAGGGCAATATATTGGAAAGAAAGAATTTTGAAGTTAGATCTGTCCTCCAATGCTAGCTCTGCTGTTTCTGTAATGAAGGCCAAATTGCTTAACCTGGGCATCAGCTTCTTTAATTTTAAAATCAGGATAGCAATACCCACCCACAGAAACAGTGCCATAAAGATGAAATGAAAAAACTTTGTGAAGTAGAGACAGTTCTTTACTACATTACAAGATGCAAAAGATAAAATAAATTAAATGGCACCCCTTCAAATGAATGATTGTAAAAGAAGAAATTTTTAATATAAATGTGCTCGAAGCTAAAACAATAAAAGGCTGTGGTGTTGCCTAGAATTTCCAGAAAGCAGTCATAATCTTGTTATTTTTATCAGCAATCAAAATAAGACATTTAATTTTTTAGAGTCCAACCTGGTTTTTTATGTAACATGACCTAGGCTGTGGTCTAGATTCTCATTGGACTAACTTTAATTTGTAGGTTTAGATGGAAAAGCTTTGCAAGATGAACCTGTGAGCAACTTCCCCAAACTCCAACATGTGATTGAGGGTGTCCTCCCTCAGAACACAAGAGGCACGATCAAAGCTGTTTCCACAGAGCTCCAAGAATGATGTTGCCCTGCAAATGACCGTGTCTCATCATTGATCAAAAGTGACCTCGACCAACGGTTCTCCATCTCCTAGAGAATAAAAATCTGAAGTCCTTGTTAAGACACCTAAAAAGCCTTATCTCCACCTTTCCATTTGCAAGGATGCTTCAGCCCTGCTGAACTCCTTGCTGTTATATGATCTCAAGATAAGCTTCCACATACATAGGTAAAGAGAACATTTGATTTTCTACATTAAGTCATTTTCTTATATATTAGAGTGTGCTGCCGACCATCTGGTAAATTTATTACATGTCATTTAAGCCAATTTACCATCTCTCTCAATTCATCCCTCCAATTTAATATTGAAACAAACAAATAAAAATGCCGGGCTATGCCAGGTAAGAAGAGAGACTGTGCCTATCTGTGCAGCAAACGATATTGTTTTTTCAATATTAGACAATTATATATTGAATAAAAGTTAACTGAAGACAAGATAGAGACAGGGAAATTAAAAATGGTGATTGATCCCACTTAAATACTGAATTTTTAACTAAGTGGGTTCAAATAAGCACTCATTCTTAAGGCAAAGGGTGGGGGGATAGAGAAAGAGAGATAGAGAGTGAGAGAGAGAGATTCAAAAGAAATAGTGAGGTACTCTCCAAACAGCAAACATACATATATAGAGGATAAAATAATTTGTCTAAAATGAATGAAAATAAAAATATAAAATGCTTCTATATTTTAAATACTTATTGCCATTTCAATTATTTTAAGCTTTTTCTTTTGATATGAAAAGGGCTATTATTAACATTACTGCTATCAATCAAGTTGGATTTTGAAAAGAGATTACCTTATATAATTCATCATTTGTTTTACTTTATTTTTAATTTTCTATAGAAAAAGAGAAGTGGAAAAATTAATTCAATGAACACGAATTGCTCAGATCTCAGAAAAGGGTTCAATCTAGAATTTTATTTCCTTGGTATCCTATTAGTGAATTTTTTAAAGCTGTATAATAATTATTAAGGAGAAAATGTTTTATTCATTAATAGACTGGTTTCACTTTGAACTCATAAACCCATTTTCTAATTTTCCTCTTAAGGCATACCATTCAGGCACATTTCTTCCTACTTTGCATACTTTCTGAAAGATTTAGCTCTCAGATCCCTTAATATCAAAGTGACATTAAATTCTTCTAGGCTACTTAAGCTAAAAAATTTAATAATTTGGCTCCTTATTCAAGATAAATCAAAATTCTTTACTTTTCAACTATTTTTAACCATCGGTGTCTGCAACTGCAGTACATAGACATGAATATAGTAGATTAAATGGGCAAATTTTTATAAAGACATAAACTACCAAAACTGACCCGTTCAAAAAAAAATTGAATAGACTTATAACAAGTAAAGAGATTGAAGTCACAATCAAAGAATGACCCACAAGGATACGCTCTGGAACCAATGCCTTCACTTGTAAATTCTCCCATATAAAGAGTTAATAAGACTTCAGAAACCCTTCCCAAAAACAGAAGAGGAGCAAAAACCTCCCATCTCATTCCATGACACTAGTACTACTCTGAGACTTAATGAAAGTATTATAAGTAAAGAAAACTACAGACCAATCTTTCTAGTGAATATAGGTGCAAACACTTCAACAATGAACTAACAAGCCAAATCCTGCAACATATAAAAAGCATAATACACCATGACCAAGTGTGATTTATCCCAGGAATAAATAAGTCAGCACAACATTTAAATACCAATTAATATAATACACCATATTAATAGCATAAAAAACAAAAACTACATGATCATCTCAGTAGATCCAGAAAAAAGCATTTGAAAAATTCCAATGCCGTTTCAAGATAAAAAACACTGGAAGTGAATAATAAAAGGAGACATCCTCAATCTCATTAAATGAATCTACAAAAGCCCACAGCTAATGTTGTACTGAATGGCGAGAGAATGGATGCTTCTCCCCTAAGATCAGGAACAACATGAGGATGTTCATGCTCACACTTTGATTCAATATTGTATTGAAATTTGTAGCTAGGAGGTTTAGGCAGAAAGTGAAGTAAAAATATCCAAATTGGAAAAGAAGAAATTAGACTACAGTCATATTTCAGTGTGCGTTGGATTAAGAACTCATCGAACCTGGCACTTACCACATTTTAACAAGAAAAAAATGTTTCAGCACTTGGCACTTGCTCACCACTTGTCCCACATGCTAGAACTTATGTGAGTCAGGACACCACCCTACAAGAGAAAATGCTCCATCGGTCATTGCCTGCTCGCCACTCATGGGATCCAATTAACTATGAGTACTGAGGCACCACTGTATTTCAGTTTGTAGATGACATAATCTTACGCATAGAAAATGTTAAAGAATCCACCAAAAAAAGCCTGGTAGAACTAATAATCAAATTCATCAAGATTTCAAGATACAAGATCAACACACCAAAATCAATTATATTTCTACACACTAGCAATAAACAGTTTTAAATTTAAATTAAGAAAAAATGGCATTAAAAAATGGCATTAAATGGCAACAAAAAATACCTAGGAATAAATTTAACCAAAAATATACACGAGTTGCAACTGAATACTAATGAAACATCTCTGAAGAAAATTGAAGATATTAAAAAATGGTAAGACATTCTGTGTTCGCAGATTGAATCACTTAATATTGTCAAAGATGGCAACACTAATCTAAGCAATCTACAGATTCAATACACTCCTATCTAAATACCAATGGCCTTTTTTCCAGAAAGGGAAAACTTAACCTTAAAATTTGTATGAAATGAAATGGATCCTGAATAATCAGTAATCTCAAAGATGAAAACAGAGTTGGAGGACTCACACCTACTGCCCTCAAAACTTACTTCAAAGCCACAGTAATTGAGGATGCATAGTGTAGGCATAAGGACAGACATATAGATTAATGGAATACAATAGAAAGTCTAGAAATAAACCCATACACTTATAATCAACTGATTTTCAACAGGGATGCCAAGGCAATATATTAGGGAGAAAATAGACATTTCAACTAATGATGCTGGGACAACTAGTTTTCCATGTGCAAGAATGAAGGTGAGCCCTCACTAGTGTAGCTCAGTGGATTGAGCTCGGGCCTGTGAACCACAGGATCATGGTTCAATTCCCAGTCAGGGCATATGCCTGGGTTGCAGGCCAGTTCCCAGCAGGGGCCGCATGAGAGACAACCATACATTGATGTTTTTCTCCTGCTCTCCTTCCCTTCCCCTCTAAAGATGAATAAATAAAATCTTAAAAAAAAATTTTAATGTTTAAAAAAACAAGAATGAAGGTGAACCCCTACCTCACACCACATAAAAAAATTAACTAAAAATGCATCGAGACCTAAATGTAAGAGTGAAAATTATAAAATCAGAAGAAAACATAGGGGTAAATCAGGCAATGGTTTCTTAACTATAATTCCTGAACTACAAGCATTCAACGAGAAAATAGACAAATTGGCCTTGATCAAAATGTGAAAGTTTTTTACATTAAAGGACACCATTAAGAAAGTAAAAAAGAAAATCCGTGGACTGGAAAAAAATTTGTGAATAGTGGACATTGACAAGAGTGTGGTGATTGTGGGGTGGAGGGGCATGGGTGAAAGTGAAAGAGGTTATAGGGGAGTAAATGGTAATGGAAAAACTAAAATAAAATATTGGCAAATCATACGTTTAATAATGGCTTAGTATCTAGAATATATTATATATCAAGAATATATATATATAATAAAAAAGACAAATAACCCAATTCAAAAATGGGTAAAAAAATTGAATAGACATTTATCCAAAGAAAATCTTTTCTTGACATGTGGTATTGCTTCGAGGGTGTTCAAACTATACACAAATCTCCATAACAGCATTATTCATAATATTCAAAAAGCAGAAACAACCCCAATGTCCATAAATTAGGGAATGGATAAACTAAGTGTGATACACCCATGCAATGGAATTATTCAGCCATAAAAGAAAAATGAAGTTCTGGTATATGCTACAACATGGTTAAAACTTGAAAATATTATCTTAAGTGAAAGAAACTGTGTTGTATTGTATGATTCCATTTATATGAAATGTCCAAAACAGTCAAAT